ATTAGGTGCATGAATACATATGAATACAAGATTGATTAGAAGAATGATTATTCATCTTATGTTTTTTTCATTGGAAGATGACATTTGCATTGATTTACTTTGTGTATAATAAAACACTTCTCCCTGTTTTCAATTTTTATCTCTGGGACTACTTGAGAGATTTGTTGTTGGGTAGATCATGTATATTTACTCTACAAAATAAACGTGTATCAGTTAAATCATATTATATAATTGTGAGGTGTTTTCTTTTGCAGATGCAGGATGTATTTCTAAAAGATAAAAAGGAGAAATGTTTACTTGTAGATTTAAGTTGTTTTCCCTCTTTTTTATTTCATGAGTGTTTGTAGAAAAATAGCTCAGTCATATTGACTTCTGATCACCTGTCTCAGGAAATGAAAGTAATGTTAAGTCTCTTCTTATTTCCCACTCTCTTTCCTCCTGAGTAATTATGGCTGAGAATCAGTTTTGCTAATGGAAGGCTGCTTAATTTAATAGTTGCAGAATATATCTAGGGAGAGCAATTTCACAATTGTGAAAAGTGAAATGGGATCTTACTTGTCAGATTTGGAATTAAAACAGTGAAGATGGCCACTTAATCGCACATGTTTTAGGAGACATGGGAGTAAGGATGGATTTCCTGAAAATCACTGACTGGTAAAGTATTGCAGGCATAATGTTGTTGAAGCCACAGCAGTGGCATCTTGGTGACTTTGCTTCTTTACATATTTTTATATCATGTGTGTGTGTGTGTGTGTGTGTGTGTAATTTTGCTTTTCCTTTAGATATAAACATATCGAAGGAGTTTTCCTGTTGTTGCTATTGAATTCCAGAAATAACAGCTGGTACATGTCCTTCCAAATGTGTATCTGATTGTATATATTGTATTCTCAATAGCTAAAAATGGGATAGTCTCATCATAGATATTCAATTTGTATTTGAATTTTTAAAATGAATGGAGAATAAATGAATGAATAAAAGGGATAACAGGTGTAAATGGATACTAATTATGAACTATAGGTATGGAAAGCTTCTCAGAAGAGACAACGTGTGAACAGGGTACAATAAAGTGAAGAAGAGACCTGTGTGGTTATGTTGTAGATAAGTGTCCTTAGGCAGCAGGAACAGTAAAATCCTTTAGTGTCTAAAGCTAAGACTTAATGGTGTGTCTGAGAAAGAGCAAGGAGGCAAAGAGAGTACGACAAAAATGGCCAAAAGTGACATGGGAGAAGTTGTTAGGGCCCAGGTGTTAGGGACCCTTGTAAATGTTTAGTAAAAATCTTTGGGTCATAATCTAGGTGACATAAGAAACCATTAAAGGATGTTTGGTAGAGCAGTGACTTGGTTACATTAATATTTTAAAGGAGCACTCTGGCTATTGTATGGATAATCAATGTAGAGGGTACAAGAGAGAATGTGGGGCTGACAGTCCAGAAGTGCAATAGTCAAGATCAAAGAGGTTGATAGCTTGGGCTAGGGCGGGAGCAGAGAAGGAGATGCTAGGAGGCACTTTTGATGTAAAAAGAGTTTGCTGACATGTTGTGTGAAAGAAAGACAGGAATCAAAGAGGCCACAGGTCTGGGGCCTGAGCAAAGGGAGAATGATAACGTCATATCCCCTGAAGTAAGAGGAAGTGGTGAATAGGGGTTGAAGAATCAAGAGTTCTATTGACATATTAAGTTTGGATGGATTTATTAAGTTTGGAGAGGTTGTAGGCAGGTTTAGATAAGATATATGGTCAGGAGTGGAGATTGTGATTGCATGAGAGTCATTAAAGGAAATAGATGAGATCAGCAGAAGAATGGAGAAGATGGAGAAGAACTCAGAGGACCTGAGTCCTGGGTTGGGGTGGTGTAAAATAATACTTTGTGTATAAAATTTACTCAAATTTTTAAAAGCCATATCCTCCCAAATTAGTTCTCTGTTTTGTGTTTTTAACAACGTGCCGTCAAACTTTATTAATTTTAAATAATTCTTAAATTGTAACTGCATACATGTAAGCATATTCAATCTGGCAATATTTCTAGTTCTTATTTTTTTTTTCCAAAGAAGATGCTATATCCTGCTTTTTTAACAGTTTATTTATTTATTTTGAAAAGAGAGAACACGAGGAGGGGAGTGGCAGAGAAAGAAGGAGAGAGAGAGAGAGAGAGAGAGAGAGAGAGAATCCCAAGAAGGCTCTACACTGCCAGCATGGAGAACGATGCAGGGCTCAAACCCATGAATGCTGAGATCATAACCTGAGCTGAAACCAAGAGTTGGACACTTACCAACTGATGCACCCGGGCACCCATCTATATTGCTTTTTGAGAACTATAAAGCTGACTGTCTTACTACCAGTGTTTTGGGCCAGGGGTTGCGGGGAGGCCGGCTAGAGGGAAAGGCAGGCAGGAATTTTTTCTCTCTATATTTTGATTTTAATTAACTCCATGCTTTGAGTTTGGTATCTTCGCCCACCCTCCTGTTCAGACATGCATACATACTCAAACACACACACACACATACACACACACCTCTTACTGTCTAAAATCTGGTTTTCTGAGTTTATATATCTATCCCTATCTCAACCTTTATCTTTATCTTTATCTCTATCTCTCATCTCTATCTTTATCTCTGTCTCTATATATGTATCTATATCTATATCTCCATCCTTTAATGTGCATGTGAATGTGTATTGCTTGACCTAGGAGAAGAATTTCTAGATCATACAAGATTGCCATATTAAAATTTGAGTAGGTAATCTTGAATTGTTTTCTCAAGTATTTGGACAAATTTATACTTCAACCAGTACTATGTCAGTGTCCCTATTGATCCACATTTTCACCACTACTTATTAAGAATATATATGCAATATTTATATAAATAGGTTAAAGCATATTAATATAAACATATTGAATATATTACATATATTTGAATTTTGCCAATTGGAAGGGTGAGATTGAATCTCATCATACTTTTAGGATACCTTCTTGGAATTTTAAGAGGATGTGAAAATTTTTATATGTTTACTCACCTTTTGTTTTCCCTCTTCTATCAAATTTTTGTAGAAGTCTTTTGGGTTGTTTATTATTTACTGACTCATAGAAATTCTTTGTATATTCTAGATACTACTCTTTAGTCAGTTATATAGGTTGCAAAATCTCCAGTTTATGGTTTTTTACTCATGAAATGGTATCTTTTGATAAACAGATGTTCCTAAAATTAAAGCCATTTATTTTGCTAGTTTATTTTACTTAATGGTTTATGACTTTTGAATCCTACTTAAGATTCTGTTCATATACTAAGATCATTAAAGCTTTATTACATTTTCTTTATAAAGTCTTATAGCACTAGCTTCTACATATAAGGCCATAATCCATCCAGAATTGACATTTTTGTAGAGTGTATCATATTTCAGGTTTCTATATGTATGGAATTTGGGTCTCTATTCCATCTGTCTATTTGTCTCTGTGCCAATATGCCAATATTGCAGTTATTATTTGTATATTCATGTTATTTTAATATCTTACATAGCAAATTTATCTGCCTGGTTTATCCTTAGGGCTAACTTGGCTGTTGCTGGGGTTTTCTTCTTTTATAAGCTTTGTGTTTGTTCACATACAGACATGTGTGTAAATCCTAAATGAACAACTGTATACAAAGTAAATATACCATCGTAACCAGAACTCAGATAAAAAAACAGAATTCTACTAGCATCTCAGAATTCCCAATCATATGCCCCAATATGCACTATCCTGGCTTCCATTCCAGTTTAAGTTTGCCTATTTTTGATCTTTATGTATACTTCCTTCTGAACTTCACTTAGCTTACCTCAAGTTTTATTAGGCAGTATTTTCATTATGTTGTTCCATGGATTTTATAATTTTCATTATAATTTCTTGTTTAACTCATAAGTTATTTTAGAATTATGAGGTGCTTTATAAAATGTATATATATGTATATATACATGTACTGCATATTTTGTCACATTTTTATTATTAACTTGTAAATTCTTTGTTATATTTTGGCCAATTTTCATAAGTGTTCCACCAGTACATGAAAAGTTTATGTACCATTGTCTTAATTTGTTTTTACTTGTCCTCTTTGATCTATAATACTTTTTCTTTCCTTTTTATCATTTTCTTGATTTCTTTTGATTTTAATGGTGTTTTGTTTTTGGATACTTCAATTTATTTTTTACATTTACTGATTTTGGAGTTATAAGCTATATTTGTGTGGTTTTTGTGATTGTAGTAGCCCCAAGCCTTATCTCCTAGTTTTCATGCTCTTGAGGTCAATTAAATCCCAGGCTCTAAATGAGATTTGGAAGATTCCTTCAGGGAAAATGTCTGCTTGGGTATTCTCTGGTCTCTGTAATCTTGCTTCTTTATCTCTTCTGTCCTCCGTCTCTCTTATCCATGTTTTGAGAAGGTATTTTAAAATTTAATGCTTCATCTGTATATATTTTTTATCTGACAAAGTTTTCACTGTTTTTTTAACAAGTTGTTGAAAACGGGAAACTAATTTTTTTAAAATAGATTTTCTAGTAGTTAAGTAATTTGGGGACACAATACGAAATAGACATGGACTCAGCCGTTCTGAGCCACTCAGCAAACTGGCTATAATTTTTTCAGCCTGTTCAATGGTTCTCAGATAATGTTACATGATATCCCTAGTTTAACTTTTATAGAATTTTACGAGGTACTGAGATTCTCGAGTTCGGTATTTCTGAGATCTTATCCATATTTCAAGGCAGGCGACAGGGCAGAGTAGCAGAAGAAAACAAACAAACAAAAAAAACCATGGGCTTTATTTTCTCATGGCCCTGAATTTATATAATAGTCCCTGACTAGTTATGTGACTTTCTGCAGAAAACTTTACTTCTTTGGGCCTCAGTTTTTCCTTCAGAAGATGAGGATCCTAGTATTCAAGTAAATTGTTGGAATAAAGATTAATTAAGATAATATCTATCTATCTATCTATCTATCTATCTATCTGGTAATGTGTTTCTTTTGTACCTTCAGATCTACTTCTTATACTTCTCCAGTTTTCTCTCTGATCTGGGTGTCCTACCTTTATGGACTATAACCAATATATTACTTCAGAGAAGATATAGTATGTAAGTAACCTGCCATACTGACTTAAATATTTGTTGAATAAAGAATGAGCTTGCAATTACCATTAACTATTATCACTGAAATTAAATAGATATATTAAATTAAGATCCAATGATAATAGTATCTACTGATGGTTTTGTGCCATGTTCCAAGAACTATGATCACTTATGCATGATAATAGCAGTCAGCAAACTATGGTCTACAATCCACATCTTGTCTGTTGCCTGTTTTTATAATTAAAGTATTGTTGAAATACAGTTACCTTCATTCTTTTTTATGTTGTCTTTAGCTGTTTTCATACTACAAAAGCAGCACTGAGTAGCTGAGGCCAAGAATATACGGCCTATCCACACAGATGAAAATGTTTACTATCTGGCCCTTATATGGGCAAAGTTTGCTGACCTAAGCTATAAATAGCATTTAATCTTCATAATGATTCTATGAAATAAATATAATTTATATGCCCATTTCACACATGAAACTGAGATTGGAAATGTTAATTAGGTTGTACAAACTATTGCAGAATAGATACAAAAACTTTTTAATTGATTTAAGAGAACCAGTTATACATTTCTTCAATCTCCTAAGATGTTTTCAATAAAATGTATACTTTTTTCTTTTTAGAAAAGAGAGAGAGAGAGGGTGCAAGTGTGAGCAAGGGGAAGAGACAGAGAAAGAGAGAATCCCACAAGAGGCAGAGAGAGAGAAAGGGAGAGAGAGAGAGAAGAGTGGGGCTCACCTGAAGTGGGGTTTGTGCTCACTGTATGTGGGACTTGAACTCATGAACCATGATATCATGACCTGAGCCAAAGTCGGATGCCTAACCACCTGAGCTATCCAGGCACCCTAAACTATATACTCTTTATACACCAAACTCTACAGGGAGAAAAAGGTCAATTAATTTGAGTATTGTGGATAAAAAAAGGAAAAGGGAAAATGGCACCAATAGCTTAACACCTTTGCTTCTCTCCTTGGTCCTGAAAAAGTATTTCTTATGATCTGGACACCCTCTTCAGAAAAGTACTGGTAGTATGTGGTGGTCATGCATTGGCTACTTCAGGGCCTCTATTTTGGAGCACTTTACTAGCTCCTATAGGCATTGTTGAGGGTCTCAGTTAAGTCTGAAAGCATCATCCAAAGGATAGTATGTCCTCCAGAAGTCCCATCTGGGGCTGCAGTTCGTCATGTTATATTGCTCTTTCCTCTATTCCCAACCCTGAGACGCTGGCTGGTTCTTTGCAAGTGGTCCTCCTCCCTGTGGGCATTTCCAGAAGTGGTGGGGATTGTTTCTTCTTAGTTTGTTCTCATGCCTTATTCAAAAGAATGAGACTCTTTAAGGAAATTATTTATTTATTTTGAGAGGGAGAGAGAGAAAAAGAGTGAGCATGAGCGCAAGGAGGGGCAGAGAGAGAGGGAGAGACTGACTCCCAAGCAGGCTCCATATTGTGAGGCACAGAGCTCAATGCAGGGGTCCATCCCAGGAACCATGAGATCATGACCTGAGCTGAAATCAAAAGTCAGACATTTAATCGACTGAGACACTGAGGTGTCCCGAGACTCTTTTCATTATTTTATTTATTACTTATGGGACAATTTAATGATACTAGAAATCAAAACTCTTCTGTCAGATCACATTTATGAGTGCAAAGCTGTTGATAATCCTGAGAGCATTTGAAATGAAAATGTACTCACTATTTGAAACCTAGGCATAATTAGTTTAAATTTGCTTGATTTTCAAAAGAGGAAATCATAGTAATATTTTATGATTTACAACATAGAAGCTACTTTGCCTTTTATTGTGCTTCTTGTTGGATAATCAGAGACAATTAAAAAATTTTCTTTGCACCAAGGCCCCAAACTTGGAGGCTTAGCTCATACTGCAGTGGATTGAGACTCTGCTATTAACAGCCAACTTCCTCGTCATCTCTGATACATGTTTATTAATTATTATTAGTATTAGTATTATAATTATTTTGTGCATTAATGTAAACTAATACAATATAATAATGAGGTATGTATTAAAGTATTACTTATATGGTTAGTATCATTATTGTAATTATTATCAGTAGTAGTAGTAGTTATGATAGTATATATGTGTGTGTCTATATAGACTAATATATTAATAGATAATAATTCATTAATAGTATATCATAATATTATAATATAGTATGTATGCCTATGTGTGTATATATATATATATATATAATAAAATATATAATCACATAGTGGTGTGTATATATATATAAGCTACTACCACAACTAAGCCTTTATTGTATACATTGTTGACTCTACACTGACTGCAATAACCATTCTAATGTATTATCTAATTAAAATTCAAGCAATGATTACCTCAAGTGCTCTTTAAATTAATAGCCAGGCTTAGTCTAGACAAATTTAGGACAAGTGAAACGCACCTTTAATAGCCTGGAAAAATAAGTTGATAAAACCATGATAAGTTAAGCTGAAGAATGTTTTTATTTTATTTTTTTCAATTTGAACTAATAACATTTTGACAACTGTCAAATGTGAAATGATAAAAGGATGGGTATTAGTATGCCATTTACATTTTATTTCCATAATTCTACCTTAGTTTTTAAAAAGATGTTAGTTTTATTTTTATTTTTCTAGGTTTTTATTTAAATTCCAGTTAGTTACCATACACTGTAATATTAGTTTCAGGTGTGAAATATAGTCAGTCAACACTTCCATACAGTAGCTGGTATTCATCATAGCAAGAGCACTCCTTAATCTTCATCACCTGTTCTACTCATCCTCCCACCCTCCTCCCCTCTGGTAACTATACATTTGTTCTTTAAAAAAAATTTTTTTTTTAATGTTTATTTATTTTTGACAGAGAGAGACAGAGCAAGAGTGGGGGAGGGGCAGAGAGAGAGGGAGACACAGAATCTGAAGCAGGCTCCGGGCTCTGAGCTGTCAGCACAGAGCCCAACACGGGGCTCAAACTCACAAACTGCAAGATCATGACCTGAGCCAAAGTCGGACACTCAACCGACCGAGCCACCCAGGTGTCCCCTTAGCTTATTTTAAATTAAATATTAAGGGATCCAAGTATCATTTTCTATGAGTCTTGATTTGGGCCAACTTTTATCCATTAACCAATCACATTGGGTAAGAGTTCTACTATATAAAGATCTCTTCTAGATGGTATCCACGCCAAATTTTTTGAGGAATGGGTGATTTTAAGAGCAGATCCTTGAGAGCCATTTACAAAGAGAATACCTGACATCCAAACCTGCTATAATTTTACGGTTGATTTTTATATTCCATATCCTGTAAATGGCCAGAATTCCAGGAATTCTTAGCTGTTGAACTAATTAATTCTAGGAGAGAGACCAGTAACCTTTACTGAATAAGAACTGTAGAATGCACTGAAATCACATAGTAACAATCATCTTAGAAACTCAGAGTTGGAATTCACCTTCAAAATCATCTAGCAAAACTCCCCTTTCTTTTTATTTTTTTAATAATGTTTATTTTTGAGACAGAGACAGAATGTGAGTGGGTTGGGGCAGAGAAAGAGGGAGACACAGAATCGTAAGCAGGCTCCAGGCTCTGAGCTGTCAGCACAGAGCCCGACGCGGGGCTCGAACTCACAGACCATGAGATCATGACCTGAGCTGAAGTCGGTCGCTCAACTGACTGAGCCACCCACGTGCTGCTACATTTGTTCTTTATAGTTAAGAGCCTGTTTCTTAGTTTGCCTCCCTCTCTCTTTTTTTCCCCTTCCCCTATGTTCATCTGTTTTATTTCTTAAATTCCACATATGAGTGAAATCATATGATATTTGTCTTTCTCTGACTGATTTATTTCACTTAGCATGATACTAGCTACACCCATGTCATTGCAAATGGCAAGATTTCATTTTTTTCTGATTAATATTCCATTGTATATGCATACCACATCTTCTTTATCCATTCATCCATGGATAGACATTGGGCTGTTTCCAAAATTTGGTTATTATAGATAATGTTGCTATAAACATTGGGGTACATGTATCCCTTTGAATTAGTATTTTTGTATTCTTTGGGTAAATACCTAGTAGTACAATTACTGGATTGTAGGGTAGTTTTACTTTTAACTTTTTGAGGAAACTCTATACTGCTCTCCAGTGTGGCTGCACCAGTTTGCATTCCCACCAACAGTGAAAGAGGGTTCCTCTCTCTCCACATACTTGCCAGTACCTGTTGTTTCTTGTGTTGTTGGTTTTAACCATTCTGATGGGTGTGAGGTGGTATCTCATTGTAGTTTTGATTTATTTTTCTCTGACGATTAGTGATTTGAGTGTCTTTTCATGTGTCTGTTAGCCATTTGGATGTCTTCTTTGGAAAATGTCTGCTCGTGTCTTCTGCCCATTTCTTAACTGGATTATTTGTTTTTTGGTGTTAAGTTTAATACATTCTTTATAGTTTCTGAATACTAACCCTTTATCAGATATGTCATTTGCAAATATCTTCTCCCATTAAGGACGTTGTCTTTTAGTTCTGTTGATTGTTTCCTTTGCTGTATAGTTTTTATTTTGATGAAGTCCCAATAGTTTCCTTTTGCTTCCCTTGCCTCCAGAGACATATCTAGAAAGAAGTTGCTATGGCTGGTGTCAAAGAGGTTACTGCCTGTGTTCTCCTCTAGGATTTTTTTTTTTTAATTTTTTTAACGCTTATTTATTTTTGAGACAGAGAGAGACAGAGCATGAACGGGGGAGGGTCAGAGAGAGGGAGACACAGAAAACGAAACAGGCTCCAGGCTCTGAGCCGTCAGCACAGAGCCCGACGCGGGGCTCGAACTCACGGACCGCGAGATCATGACCTGAGCCGAAGTCGGACGCTTAACCGACTGAGCCACCCAGGCACCCCTAGGATTTTTATGGTGTTAAGTCTCACACCGAGGTCTTTAATTCATCTTGAATTTATTTTTGTATATGGTGTAAGA